GAGGGCTTTCTCTGACAATGACTGGGCTGGTTGCCCAGATACAAGGAGATTCGTTTCTAGCTTCTGTATTTTCTTGGGTGATTCTTTGATTACATGGAAGTCTAATAAGCAGAATTTGGTGGCACGAAGTTCAACTAAGGCGGAGTATCGCGCTATTGCAGCCACTACTTGTGAATTGATGTGGCTTTCTTCTTTGCTCATTGACTTTCGCATTATAGTTTCATTGCCTATCTCGTTACATTGTGATAATCATTCTGCGATCTATCTTTCTCGTAATCTTGTGTTTCACGAGCAGAGTAAACACATTGAGGTAGATTGCCATTTTGTCCGGGATCAAGTTCAGAATCGTTTCCTGCATTTACTGCATTTGCCCTCTTCTGATGAGGTGGCAAATGCATTCACCAAGGCTTTGCAATCTTCACATTGTCGGCGCTTAATAAGCAAGATGAACAGCTCAATATCCATATTCATCTTGAGGGGGGATAATACAAATTGTAATTGAGAATTAGTTCAGCAGAGAGTTGGTTGCAATAAGTGACATCTCCCTATATATATAATGGTTGTATGTCTGAGATAAACACACAAAAATTTTCCCGTTCTTATCTCTGTTACCTGGCCCTGGACGATGAGCTCATGAACGCCGGCGCCGATGTCTCAAACGACACGCAAAAGAACTGCAAGCAGGCAGTGACAGTGAAAGAGGCTGTTGCAACAGGATCCCTGCTTGATGTCATCCGGTCACCCCTCACCCGTGTGCGCCTATTCCTAACCGTAGCCATCAACTTTGTGTGTTCTGTTGTATACTACGGACTCAGCTTGAGCGTCGTCAACCTCAAAACTAATCTCTACCTCAGCGTGCTCCTCAACGCCGTTGCGGAGATGCCAGCATTCCTCATAACCGCAATTCTGTTGGACAGGTTTGGAAGGAAACCACTGGCGATTGGGACGATGTTGTTTAGCGGAGTGTTTTACTGGGCGGGGAGCGTCGTGAGGAACTACGGAGTAGGGAAGGTGGTAAGGATGGTGTGTGGGATCTTGGGGATATTTGGGATGGCCGGGACCTACAACTTGTTCATATACACAGCTGAACTGTTTCCGACTGTGGTTAGGAATGCAGCACTGGGGTGTGCGACACAGGCTGCGCAGATGGGAGCGATACTGGCACCTTTGGTGGTGGTTTTGGGTGGGGGATTGCCATTTGCAGTCTTCGGGGCATGTGGAACTCTCGGGGCTCTGCTTGCATTCTTCTCGTATATCAATCTCCCACCCGTGAACCACCATGTTGTGCTCCTTGTACCTCTACCTCTCCAGAGGCAGCTTGAACTCCATGTCCGTGAATACCGCGTCCGAGTCCATCCACCATATCCATTCCGCTTCCAGGTGAGCAATCCTCGCGGCCCGCTGCACTAGGATCTTCGCCCAAAATGTTGTCATCTCAAGTTGCAAAAAGGCATTGCTGTAGAAGATATCATAGTCATGGATTTGGCAATAATTCACTTTGTTCTTGAACAATCTCAGGAGGAGGTGATCGCCGATGGGGTTCTGGCACGGCGGTGGCTGCGGTCCAGACACTAGGAGAATTCGCTCCTGTATTCCGGGGGAAAAATATGGGTGGTGCAGCCATTCACGCCGTAGTAGCTGAGATTGGGGTCATCATAGAATGTGGGAGAAGAGGGGTCGTGGCTTCGGTTTACTGTCATTGACGCAGCAGCTTGGGCGCAATCATCTGAGGCGAATACCTCCTAGACAGAGGGCTTTGGCCGTGTGACAGCAGAAGAGAAAGTAGGGGTAGGGTTGGGAATGATCGCTGGTAGTTGTAGTAGATGGCCGGTGGTTTCTCTGATTTGAAATGAGAAACAAAATATCAGAGAACAGGGGTTTATCTGATTTAAAGTGAAAAAATAAAATAGCAAAACAAAATATGAATGTTGGAGAATACCTGATCAAGGTGAGCGGTCGCCGGTGCCGGAGAAGAAGAGCTTGGATGGAGGGAAGAAGAATGGGGTCAGACATGCAGGAGACATGCGGGAGACAAATTATCATATGCGGCAGGGCGAAAAGTGAAACGGAGACATTGTAGAGTGGGGAATTGGGAAGTCAACGCAACTCAGAATCTAAGAGAATGTTCTGATAGGTTATACGGTATCTTGTCAGATAATTTACTTAATGGAAAAGTATAGATAGGTTTATTGCAGATTTCTGAATTGCACTGTAAATCTATCAAAATTCAAAATATCAAATATGACCGCATTCACACCTTGCATACAACCTTTTATAGTTGTGCATTGAGAATATATCGCATTTGTATGTTTTTCTATAAGATATATTCCTAATGTACCACTAATATGAAAGACCGTGCAAACGGTGTGACTATAGTTTTATGAGCACCCAAGCCAATCTCATTCCACACCAACCTAACAATACTTTCCATCCGCACATCGAGAACATCTTCGATATTTATGTATTTTTACTCATACGAGATGCTTCGAATATAGGGACAGATGTGCTGTAAAATCAGTTTTAGGTGCTTTCTGTGAGGTGCAAATCCAAATCCCTACATGTATGTGTCTTATCTATTCAATATATGATAGATTTGCACAGTTGTGTTTTCAGCAAATAACTTGTCTGTTCACCATAAAAGGTTGTCGACACACATATACAGGACTATAGTGCACATTGCCAATATCTCTTGTGCTATTTAATTATTTATTAACGGTGAGATCATAATAGACTGAAATGGTTGCAAATGACTTCTTCCTCTATGCGTAGAAGCCAGATTTGCTCCTCACGACGTTGCTGCCAGTGTATAAATAAATATAAAATAATAAAAAAATATAAGATTTTCTACTTTATATCCTCTTTTAAATGAATTCTCAGACTGTCTCAATATATCCAGGTTTTGACCCTTAATGAATCTTACTGATTGGTATATAAAAGATAACGTAATTCAACACTTAGTGTAATACTATAGGAGTTATATGTATCTTTTCAGTTTTACTTATTAATCTCCAAGGTCCATGGCATAACTAGAAAATTGTTCGAGTTTAGTATTTCATCCATACACATTACATGTGCTTTGGGTCTAACCCTACCAGGTGAGACAAATTGTCCCAACTTCTTTAGCATCACATCGATATCATCCTTAGCAGGATAAATTCCCCAAGTCTATCAAACGGTTGAGAACATTCTAAACTAACACGAGTCTCGTAAGTGTCCAGTTTAAGGGGTAATTTATAGAAACATACCAATATCAACATTAAACAATAATGTACTTTTATTCATTAACAATAAATGTATATGTACATCAATCTGATTGGATCCAAAAGCATACACTATCACGATGTTATTCCTATGCAACGTGGGTGCATCGTCTAGCCATGCATCAGATCATCACAATTGTTGATCAAGTGTTCCAAAGCTTCCTTCGAAAATTCATATCTTAAAGTTCCCATTACTTTTTCTTTTGTATTCAATTTCTATTTATTTTGTTTATCTTTTTTAATAGATTATTAAGGGTAAAGTATAAAAACCTCCCCTAAGGTTTCACTTCAACAAAAGCTTCCCTTGCAATTCAAAATGTTAGATTTGCCTTCTTGACTTCATTCTAGCCAACAAAGTTATAGAGTAAAATTACTTTACTCATTTCAATTTGACCCAAGGAACTTTTTAAGTTAAAAGTTAAAAGTTCTTTTTGGAGCATTTTATATTATAAATTCATAGGTGTAAGGGTAAAATGGGTATTTAAAAAAACACAATGTATTAGGCCAATATTTATTGTCTATGACGATGACAGAAGTACGGGCATAAAAGGATTGAATCAAATCGAATCAGACAATATACGAATTCAAATCTGATTAGAAAATTTGATATCTAATTTTATTGGAGATTCAACAAATATTGAAAATTAATATTCAACTTCAAATTTGATTAAAATTTTGAATGCTTGATTTGATTCAAATTCGACAAGTTAATTATTTTAGGTAATTAACAAATATATAAAATAAATATTTTATTTATATAAAGTATATAAATTATTTTTATAATTTAATTATTATATAAAAATTATATAAAATATTTAAAAAATTTATATATTATGTATAAGAATTAAATAATCGATCAAATTTGAATATTTGTCAAATCAAATCAAGTCATATCTAAATTTGATTCAATTATATCGGATCTCAAATTCAAAATCAGATTTTCTAATACCAATGACACCCCTAGATGGAAGGATGGTATCTAAGTTTTTTTCCAAAACTACAAGGAGGTTTTTATATTTTACCATATTATTAATTACTTTTTCCTCTAACAAAAAATTTCTTAATAATATAATTATTTTGAATTAATTTTAAAAATTATTATAACTATTTACTAATCTTCTTATTTATTAATGATAAAATATTCTTGAAAAAATGAATACAAAATATTAGATGTTGAATGACTCAATCCACAACGGGTAGCCCATCCCAACACCCCTCCCCCCCAACCCTGGTGGCAGCCGTCTCTACTCCGACGAGTCAGAGAACCTACCAACTGAGCCACCATCAGTTGGTTACTAGTATCTAGTTTTACCAAACGACCTATAAGTGAGATGTCTATTGGGGGCGTACAAAGTGCATTGAAATGTACAACTAAATGACTTGCATTATACATACGTGGTGAGTCTGCAGTTCAGACCATTTGGCTAAGGGTGAACAACTAAGGAATCTTCCATGTATAAAATTGGATCTGGGCCAAAAAACTCTTTCCATGTGGTCAGAATAAATCCCTCTTTTTATGGATTTTTTAAAATGCTAAAAAAACAGAATTCTAGTGAAGAAACAGATATGCTAGGGATAAGTGCACATTGCACAACTTTGTCTCCCAAGTCTGTGCATGAGATCCCACCATGTCCTTGGTAATGTGGTTCCACCATTTCTAACTCATAGTTTCCAAGGATTGCACAACTCGTTTTACTAGCATTCTTCTTGAAATAACCAAATTCATTAATGAAAACTGCATTCCATATCAATCACCTTTCCATTTAAGGTAAAAAAGAATCAAAACTTGATTTCATCAACTTTGCACTACAGTTTTTTTCCTTTTTTTTGTAGATAAGAAACCTTGCACTAAGTTTTAAAGGTGGATGGTGACAATAAAGGTGGAGAAAATGAAAAACACAAACCTAAGGAGAAATTTTAATATATATAAAAAAAAAAAGGCTAGAAGTAGGTTGGTAATCAGAAAAAATACTGTACAGTGCAGGACAGAGGTAGATTGGAAATGGACTACTTGATTAATGCATTAGATACACATTACAAACAGTAGCCTCTCTCCTCTCAGCTTCAGTGGTGACCACGTCTGAGGACTGAGAGAAATCCACCAGATGATTTGTCTTTGCGCCGGTCTTCACCATCATCACCAACCTGTTTCAATAAGTTGTAAGGAGACCGATATCCAGTATAAAAGAAACATTAAGCGGGGCCTATGTCTAACATTTCTAACCTCCTTGGCTATTTTCTGCAAGATCTCTATAATTTCAGAAAAATCAGGTCTTAAAGTTGGATCTTGCTGCCAGCATCTCTCGAGCAGTTCTGCAAGCTTTGGATGAGTATTCTTTGGGATTGTTGGTCGTAAGCCCTGATTCCATGTGAAAGAAAATGATTTATCATGCACGTGCATCTTGGATTCAACATATAACTGATTACTACTTGCCAAAAACCACAATGATATCAATATATGTTGTCATTAAATAGAAATACTCTTACGTGCATTGCTGATAAGTTCAGCATTAACAGAGATTAGTGATAGTTGTACTTGTACCACACACAATGGAGATTTCATACATTGTTGTTATTATGATGAGAATAGCATGACAATTGCTGGTATTTAATCACTAAATAAGCAGATGTGTATAAGACTAATGGATGCAAAATGTGAGAGTAGAGATTCTAGACTCTCATTTGGCACTTGTTTTATTGAGTTGATTAGAGTGTCCTAGGTTTAGCATTAACAAAACAGAATTATTCCATGCTAAAGCACAAAAAATTTGGCTGTCATATTTTAGATGTGATTAATACCTTTTGTACCACACCTACTGCTGCTTGTAACGGGGTTAGAAACTCATATGGAAGCTGGAAATCAATCATAAAAACGTAATAGTAGATTAGTACATTGTTAGGCTTATGGCATCATCATTCTCAAATAGAAATTAACCCAAAAAACGAGAGAGTAAACGAAATGATAAGTTAAACCAAAGAACCCATTTCATTTCAAAGAATAAACTAGAAGTAATTACCTTTCTTGTTAATAGCTCCCATAGCACAATTGCAAAACTGAAAACATCAGCCCTGTGGTCATATGGCTTGTGTTCTATTACCTTTGTGGAAAAAAAAAATACAGCAATAAATGAATCCCAGTAAGGGGCATGCAAATATCCATTTAGAAGGTAGTCCGGCATATACAGAAATATCACTAAGAATACAATTTAAAGCTATGTGAATTTGTTGAGTCAAATTTTTATCTTCTATAAAATTCCTACCTCAGGAGCCATCCAACGATATGTTCCAGTTTCAGCAGTCATGACACCCGATTGAGCTTGCACTCTGGCAACTCCAAAGTCAGCAACCTTAACAACCTGAGGCACACAGTTTAAGAATATTTAAACTAAAGACTACAATCACAATAAACTTCCAGGCAGGCTTGTATACCACAAGGAAATTGACAAGAAAATAAGTTAATGTACAGAGCAAGAAGCAACCACCACACCAATAGATACCTTATAACATAAAAACGATAAAATCATGAAAACATCAATAGTTGGCATGTACAGATTATATGGAAATGCCTACCTCATTTTCATCCATCAGAAGATTGGCAGCTTTGAGGTCCCTATGTATTATATTATTTTGGTGCAAGTAGTTCATTCCCTTGGAAACATCAATTGCAACTTTGAGCAAGGATGGAAGCTTAAAGACACCCTTTTGTTTATGAAGAAAATCATATACACTTCCACCAGACATAAATTCTGGCAAAATGAAAACATCATGGAAAAAAATGATGCTCAGTTTCCAAAAATATTTAAAAAAAATTCTGCAACGAATGGCACCACAATTTATGATAAAGTACCTGTCACAATGCACAAACTTGGAGGTTGAGTACATGCTCCTATGAACTGCACAACATTCTTATGCCGGACTTTCCTGAAAAAAGCCAGAAGGAAACAATTGTAACAGACAGTGGAAAAACAAACCCAAAAAAGAAGGCACAGGAAAAGATCTATTTTAATTTTCTTCTTTTATGTTTCAACTTTCAAATTATGATGTGCAACTGAAAAATCATTCACTGACAAAAGAGAGAAGTGGATGAAAATAAAATTTGATAAAAGCCTTAATGTGAGAAAAAAAATTAAACCAATAAGCAAGAAACTACTCGGTAACTGTTCCCATAAACTAAGTATAATTTAGAGTACCCTTAAGAAGCACATCAAATGTAATGAATGTTCTATTGGATTGGATAAGGATCCCTATAGATGTACCTAAGGAAAAGCATTTTACACATTCAAGAGTAGAAAGTAATCTCTTGTAAAAAATAAGGAAAAAAAAAGCCACATCTTGCATGTTCAGTACCTCATTTCAAATATAATGAATGAATTAATTTCCTAACCAAGGATTGCAACTCAGAACACTTTCTAGTGGTTCCAATCCATAAGTTAGCCAATACATGCTTGGGTTCGAATCTTCACATCCTCAGTATTTTGGATTTATTTCAAGGCAAGTTCGGTTCCAGGCCGGTTTATCAGATCGGTTCGGCTAGGGTAAACCCTAAGACCCTGGAACAGGCCTGGGTGCGGGCCAGTTCCAAGAATTTGGAACCAAACCCTACCCTATAACAGATTGGATAAAGTCGGTTCAAGGCCGGTTTGAGGTTGGTTCCATTCAGTTCTGGGTAGAACCTACCCATTTGCTCACCCCTATGCCAACCTATAACCTATACAAGCATTTTTTTTATAGATACTACCTATACAGCATATTAACTTAACAAACCTCATAATAAAGACCTCTTGTGCAAATTCTCTCTGCATGTTCTCATTTACGTGCTCAGGCTTTAGGACTTTAATCGCAACTTCTTGGCTGCGGTAAGTACCTTTGTACCTGCAACAGTTAGGGCATAAAATTAAGAAAGAGAAAGGATAACCAAAGATGGATCCTGCTAATTGGAGAAAAATTATTTAGAGCAGGGGAACAAAGACTAACAGATCTCCATATGATCCAGATGCAACTTTGTTCTCAAATTTCAACAGGCCGGCATCAATTTCCCAGACATCCATCCCATCAGTAGGTATTCTTACATGATTGGGTATGGGCATAGGCCCAGTCTGCTGATTGTTGCTGACAGAAGACGATAGTTGGAGTTTTGACAAAGATTTCTTCTGCAGTTAACTTTAAATCATCATTTACAAACACCCAGGCAATAGATACATACATACATATCAGGTAGCACCAGTCTCTCTCTCTCTCTCTCTCACACACACACACACACAAAATACGATGTTTTCAAACTTTTAAACAACATCAATCATATCATCAGACTATTGTGGAGTTAAAAACAGTTGTTCAATGGGTAGCCAATCCATGTGGGGAAAATGTTATCTGTACCATCTAATTATTCTGGATAATGTTTTTTTTTCATATGGTAATCTATTTGTAGATGGATTAAAACATGTCTTTTAAAGCAAAAACAGATCAGAGCATTCTTACAATTCTTCCAATGTGTTCATCACATGCTTTTGTTGTTATGTTTCTTCCAATGCATGTGCCATGTGCTTTCAAGATGAAGAATCAGCCACCTATCTTCTAATGCACTGTGCTATGATTAGGCAGCCTTGGCAATTACTTACATCGTATGATGGACCTTCAGCAATGGAAGGCTCATTGATGTTCCACCAGGTTATCTGTGGACCATGAGACTATTTCATTACATCTTGCAACATTTGTATTGCTTAGGTCCTCCTCTTTGTCAGGAGGGATGGCCTGTTCTAAACAAATGTCTTGTTGAACAGTTACCTAAAAAATATTTCTTCACTAACAGAACCCAGTATCTTTTGTCTCTTTCCCAATGCTCTCTAGAGGCTTCATCAATTATTCAATTACTCCAAACTAATGTCTTGTTGAACACTTACCTAAAAAATATTTCTTCACTAACAGAACCTAGTATCTTTTGTCTCTTTCCCAATGCTCTCTAAAGGCTTCATCAATTATTCAATTACTCCAGACACATGCATTCATTGGTATTTCCTTTACATCAGACAAATCTATGCCTACTTTTTATCTTGTTGCCAATTTTAATCCTCCTTGTTTCATCATGCATCCATCTCAACATGCACACCTCCACTGATGCCACATTTCATGGGCCTTTTGCTTCTCACTTCCCCACCATTTTGTTCTCCAAAGCATGGATACCCTCACAATCATCACAAAAAACTTCTTATTCAATTTTTAACAGTAAGGAGCGAGTGCAACACTGCTGAGCAGATCTTCACATTATCCACCCAACTTTTTTTCTGTTGGTAATGTTGTGCTTAGGGGTGTGCAATCGGTCGGTTCGGTTAGAACCAAAGACCTAACCGACTATTCTGTTTGACCATCTCTCCCAACCGAACCACACCAGACTACAATTTAGAACCGAACCAACCCTAACCAAATACAGTTCGGTTCGGTTTTAATAATTAGTAAACAATTATATATTAATCTTTAGTCTAGGTTAATGAACAATTAATACAACTACAGTCATTTAATGAACAGTTGAATGACTAATTATTAAAGCAACTACACTCATTCTTCACAAAAAATTAATGAATAATTAATAATTAGTCTAGATTTTAATACTCTAGTTGTTTATAGTCTCTAGGCTATTTAATTAACTATTATTAATTAAAAGCTGGAATAGGCCCAACAGGTCAAAGCACAATGGGGAATTGTGAATTGACCATTGCCCATTGGAAAAGATAATAATTATTAATTAATGAGTATAAAGTATTGAATAGAATATTATATATTTAATATACTTAATTAATTACAACCACTAATTCGGTTTGCGGTTTGATTCAGTTGAAAATCTTAGTCAAACCGAACTGAAACCAAAAACCGATTTTTTTAGAAAATAAAAACCAAACCAAACTAATACTCGAATTAACCAAACCAAATTAGCTTATCGGTTTGGTTCGGTTCGGTTTTCAGTTTATCAACCAAATTTGAACACCCCTAGTTGTGCTTGATATCTTAATCTATGACAAGAACTGTGTTGTGACAAAAAAAGATCCACTGAAAAATCTCATAGTATTAACCTTAACTAATTCCCCTTACAATTATTTCTTGATTCAATATACTTTGAAACCTTAAGATTCAAAAAACAAAAAACTTCATATAGTTGTGCTAATCTAGTAACCTAGTCCACAACCAGTGCAAGAAAAACAATATGGATTCAAGGGCAACTGACTTACTTTCAATATCAAACTTATTTGCCTTGCCTCTACACAATCTTCTTATAGTCCACTAACAATATGAAAAGCAGGAGACTAGGCCATTTACATAAGACATAAAAACAATTAATTGGCATTATATTGAGGTTTTACAACTGATAGCTCAAGTAGCACATCGTAAGAAAGAAAGCCACTCTTCACCTGCATATTTCAGCATGTAAAATCCCTGTCTTTTGTAAGAAAGAGAGCCACAGTGCCACATGCAAAAAAGTAAGCCCCTTTTTAGCCAATTTTATAATTTAACGGATTCTTTTTGTATGGGGGAACTACAAGAAATGGATGAATGTGTACTACTTTCATGGACAAGATTAAGTGCCTATATGGGCAATCTACAGGGTCCCTACAAAGAGGGCAGTTTGGAATGGCCAACTCTGCCTTAAATATGGCAATAAAAAAGGAAAAAATACCTGCACTAAACATGAAATTCTAAACAATGATTGACATATACACATAAATAAATAGTCAGATGGAATAGGTAGATAGAGAGAGTACCTCAAACTTTAAAATTTCCATTTCCAGTTCATGTCTAAGCCGCTCTGTTTCCTAGCAATTCCCAACATATAAGTGAATAAAGTAGTTTATGGCGAAGTAAAAGTAAGAGTTTTTTTTTTTTTTTTTTTTTGGGGGGGGGGGTGGATACAGACTCTATATTGTTATACTTTAACATATGAATGGCATTAGTCTATTAACACAAGAAAAAGGAGAACAAAGTAAGAAAATAATTATAGCCAATATTCTCAGAAAAAATTGAGCAACATTATAGACACAAAAATGACAAGAATATTGTTCAACCTAGACGTTTTTCAACTTGTAAAAGGATTGTATCAGGGATTTTAGTTGCAACTTTTTATTATGTAACTGTAAAAATAAGTGCTACTCAACCCTTTCTGATTGGTTGCCTATTGCAAAAATGATTGCATCAGGTGTTTCAGTAGGCAAGAATAGTGTTACCCAACCCTTCACAATTGGTTACAATAGGCTAGCATAGCGCTGCCTAACAATCTAGCCAAAGGAGTTGAAAAAAAAAAAAAAAAAAAAACAAAGAGCTTTAGAAGGATTTATCTATGCCAGAGTAGTGTGAAGATGCCCTAGAATTTTTGGGGTTGATATCCCTTACCAATACAGTCTCTGGGTCTTAACAGCACTTGGATTCTGCAAGTGGATTTCCTACTTATCTCCTCTTTCCTTAGACTTCCTTGCCAGAGAATGGTGATATTTAGATGATGAGAAAAAATACAATATTAATTAAGCCTACAGTAGCATATTAAAATAAATAAATATCTCCTGAAAAGAAATTGTTCTATACTACAAGTCTTTTTTTTTAATTCAGTTTATAGATGAAAATAAAATATAAGACGAAAAGAAAGACTTTATTCTGTCAGCCTATGGGTATTATAAAGACCCAACTCTCAATATCTGGCTATCATAGTCAAGTGTTGCAGCAGTCAACCAAGATAGCAGGCATTGTCTTTTTTTTTCATCAATAAGATAGCAGGCATTGTACACAACAATAAATATATCCCAAAGTAGGCACACAGAAAGGTTAGAAGGTTCTTGACGACTTGACCAGGCCAACACTCCTGCTACCAATGACATAGATGAACCAATTAAATAACAAGGTGGTTTAACCCACCTGGGCAAAAAGTGATTGCTACCACAACTCAAAACAAAAATGTCATCAGCATAGAAAATTAAATTTGAGTATTACTACTACCTTGCCTCAGACTAAATCCTTGTATCAGCAAAGTTCAAGAAACAACCTAAACAAAAAGTAAGCAGTACTAGTAGAACCCACACAAACGTCCCCAAAAAAGGAGTTTAGAAGAGATGCAAAATACCAAGAGGAATGAGTGGGAAAGAGAAAACTAGGAATGCTAGCACCAGAAATGAGCATATTCATAGTATCCCTGAGAAAGTGATAAAATGAGGGAAAGTATATTAAAATGGCTTACTTATGTGCATGGAAGACCATCTAAAGAACCAGTAAGAAGTGCCCTGTTGCAAGAGAAGGGTCTAGAAGAGAAAGAGGTAGGCCAAAAAGGACATTAGGTAAAAGTAATGAGAAGTGATTTGAGGGATCATAATTTAACAATGGATACAGCACTGAACAGAATATGTTGATAAATTTTTATTTGTGACACTATAATCAGAATGTTGCAAGGAAAAGTCTGATGCCCTACAAAAATATGTTGAAAACTTCCTGTCAAGAGTCAAGACTAATAAGCTACCTTGACAACTTACCGGACAAAAAAAAGATTAACAAATTATCTTTTTGTAATTGTTGTTTAGTGTTACTCTTTTCCCTTTTCAATGCTCTCCCTTGTTCTTTTCCATAAACTTTTATGTTTCCAATCAAAATAACTAAATAGAGAAAGAGAAGGAAATACCTCATGAGGCCAACCATCAACAACAAAGACATCCAAGGAGTAGCCATCTACTGTAGAGAAAGCATGTGCTTCTTGGATGTTCAGTCCAATCTCAGCAAGTAATGCAGTCAACTGGGAATCAAACAAAGCAAAACTATCAAAAATTTGAAAAGAGTTTCTAAAGTAACAGCAATGAACTTAATCTTTATCAAGGATGTCAGCAAGCCATTTTGGCCATGGGTCCTCCATAATGCAAATGTTTAAACCAGTCAAGAGGATTTATCCTTGACACAAGTTTCAAGAGAGCCTAAATATCATTATTTAATTGTGACCTCAACATTCTATGTCAATAATAAATTGCCTAAACGCCTAGTCTGACAGCAGCCACTTTGTGAAAAGAAAATAGATACAACAAAAGCAAAGATTAAGTTTCATATCCAATCCACCCCTCCCAAATACCCCCAAATAGCTGGACCAGAATTGGGCAATGCCCTTTTTAGTTTCCATCTCTCACCAAGTCCTTTGATCTTTAAGTCAAGTCAAAGTTATGCCTTATCTGCAAGCAAGGTTCAAAATATTGATATGCCTGATACACCGGTAGTGGCGTATCGGCAGTATCGGTAGCTTTTTTTTTGTTTTTTTTTTTAAAGCTGGTTCAGATGGGCCGGTTTAAGGTCCATCCACCCTCTGAACCGGTTGAGACCCCGAAACACCCCCTGTAGGGGTATCGGTAAGCCCCTGATACGATACGTATTGGCTGATACGGCCCGACATGTATCGATCCTTTGAACCTTGTCTGCAAGTAAGGAATGAAAAACAGGCCTATTTCTCCAAAAAAAAAAATGAAATGAAACTTTTATTGTAAAAATATTTTTTATTTAGTTTAAGAATTTCCTCCCAAGTTTATGTTGTTTTATTTGTCATAATGCCACATCCAATACTTAAGGTGAGACTCCATTCAACAATTTATCAACCCCCATAGTATATTCTTCATCACTCAATCTGATAGCATCCCTCCACAAGAGTAAGATTCAAAAGGTATTTGTGAAATTTAATACTGATTAAGTAAAGAAAATGAACATTAGTTGGTAAATTTTGGCCAAGTAATTCATCCAGTGTGCTGATTGTTTTCTTGTAAAACAGCAATAAATTCTCTCAATCATATATCTATTGAACTCTTGTTGCTGAAATCCTAATTCAGCCTCCGAGGGCCCCCACCTATCATACACATGAACACTTCAAAATGGGTGATACGTCTACCAGACACATCAATTTTAAATTTAAAATTAAATTCTGTTTCAAGCACCTTTCCTGTGTTTTATCTTTTCAATATCAACGAAACATAGATCAGCTTCTACCTAAGTGTGTTTTATAAATGAAAATGCCATTAGAAAAGTTAAAAATTGACTCCACATTTCAGGTCAAGATTTTTAGTTAACAAAAGTTGCTTTAATTAAGAGTTCAGGCAAGTCCAATGCCATTATGGCCAACCACATGGCAAAATGGAATTTATCAAGACCAACATCAATATTCATTCTTCTAGGACCATCCTACTGGGATTTGATGTTCTCACATAGCCATTACTATACACTAGTCTTTCTTGTCTAATATAAGCAATAACCTCCATTTTTAGTGATCTCTTATGAAAGTGTTTAGACAAGATATAGATAGAGAGATTGACATGGGCAAGTATACATAAGCATAAATACATGCATTATATCATATACCAAGATGGTATGCTTGAAAATCATACTTAGCATGAAGAATGAGTGATCCAAGTTCTAAATGATGATATAACAGAACCCCCAAATAGTGGATTAAGAATTTAATCACATTAAATTGAGTTTTACAAGATAGATCTAATGTGCTAGAGTAAATAACCAGCCAATTACCTGACTTAAAAGTTTTGGCTTGTCATCTGATGAAAATGTGACTTCATGCATGGGCCTGTATGATAATCAAATATATAAAAAAACATGAATTTCATAAAGATACAGACATTAAAAAAAGCACCATTCACTTAGAACCTCAGAAATGATGAGCAAAATCAAACAGTTTAATTAATCAAAAACAGTGCAAACTACAACTCTGCTGCAGCCAAAAAGAAAAAGTAATGATGACAATGATTCTACCCTTGAAAATAAATTACACAAGAAACCACTTATTTGAGCTAGAAACAAGAAGAAATGAGTAATAATGATAAACATTATTAAAAAGAATAAAGGATCAGATAAGTAAATAAAAGAAATAATGATCATATATTGAAAAACATATCAATCAACCACCAAAATAGAAAATGAATAGAATGTTTAGATATCCTTATCCAAACAATGAAATAATAACCAACAAACTAAATGAATCTTTAAGTTTTATAACTAAAATACAATTCACCAACTAAGACAAAATTCAGAAATCCACACTCCATACTGTATGGGATCACTCTAATCATGCATGCAGGAGAAATCTCTTTAAACCAAATTAGATCTAAGGACCATATAAATCTAAGTATGAGATCTAAAAGAGAACACTGAGTGATTATAATTATGTGTATGTGTGTATCACTATATATTCTATACATTATCCAAAGACTACCCACAAAGACAAATTGGATTCCTCAACCAAGCCTAGAAACCTTAAAACTTGACCTTTTACTTGCAGCCAATTAACGAAGCTTAAATGACAATAAAGTAAAAAAAAAAATAGTCTTTTAAAATAAGCAAAAGATACCTTTTAAAAACAATACTACTCCAACATAGACATAAAATGAAGCTCAAATGACAACAAACAAAGCAGGAAAGGCCCCTAATTCTTCCTAATAACTTGACAGAAAAAAACAAAATTTTAGTGTGTTTAGAAATACTTCCCAAGTACTCAGATCTGAACCCTCTTTAGGGTCTCACTAAAATAACTAAACCTTGAGCATCAAGCAGAGTATCGGTATGCCAATTTTAAAATTTTGGTATGCATAATAAGCAAGAACCTAATATATATAACAGAAATGCGATAAAAAATAATGCAAGCCATACAAATGCATAAGAAGAAATACTATTTCCAATGTATAAATGACCATAAAGTATAAGAAATGGAAAGTCAACAATACACCCATATCAACAACTAGAATAGTTTTGAAATTTGAAATATGAGATATGAGATATATAACTTGTACACAAAATGACGGAAACATGACAATTGTAAACCTGCATAATGCTTTTACTTAAATATCAATACTTTTTTTATTAAATTAACTTATAGATTTTATACTCAAATGTTATAAAAGTATAACAACTAAAATTTTGCCATTTTGCATCAATTTGTTAATTCAAATAGATCCATAATGACTAATTATAATAAAAATAGAACTCCAAAAATAAATAAAAACGCAAACTTATATACTGAAGAGCTTCAGTTTCTAAATAATTTATGAATTAAAGATTCTAAAAACCAATTGCATTTCACAAACAAACTAAGTCAAATACTTGTCAAAAAATAAAATGAGCCAAATTCTACAAAATACATGCAAAAATCAAGCCATGCATGTTTTTTTATAGGAAATGATAACTTTCATTAGAGAATTGAAAAGATTAAAGGCTTACCACCCACAAAATGGATGGAAAAAGAAAATCAAAAACTTACAAACAGGCCCAAAACAAAGCCTCCCTAGTAACTCCTTGCTTAGCTAAAGTGTCAGCCGTTCCATTTGCTGACCTTCTTACCCATTTAAAACGCACCCCAATCTCCCTTCTAAGCTAATAATCTCTCTTAGAGGCTGTCTAAGAGACACACTCCCAGGTTTCCAGCTTGCATCCACCCTATTACCAGATTGGAGTCTCCTTCCACTTCTAATTGCTGCATTCCCCATTGTTTCGCTAGTTTCAAACCTTGAAGTAAGGTCATTACTTCTGCCCTTAATGAATCTTCCACCCCAATTGGGCCCTAGTAAAGGGCAAAGATTTTTCCTTCCTCGTTTCTGTACACACCCCCAACTCCCAACTGACCTGGATTACCCGAGGAGCTTCCATCAAAGTTTAGCTTCACCATGAACTGAGGCGGTGGTACCCAACATTCTTGTACCACAGGGGAGGAAGGCGAGGATATAGGGTGGATGCAAGTAACTGATCATTGGAAATTTCCAGTTTATGGTGGTACCCAACATTCTTGTACCACAGGGGAGAATGGTGGTACCCAACATTCTAATCAAGTCTTGCATGTTTATCCATTAACCTACAGATGTGGTCCAAGTAACTGAACATTGAAAATTTCCAGTCAATTATCCTTACAAATTCATCAAATTTATTTAGAAAAAGGAATGTAGATAGTCTTCTTTTGGGATTTCTTTATAGATTATATATGCCCCATATTGGATAACAGTGGTTTGACCATCATGGACACTAATTGAACATTTTGCCAATCAAAATTTCTCATATCGCAATAAAGTGTATTATATTGCCCATAAAAATACACATATTTTGCTTTCATTCAGGGACTAAAATCTCTTTTTTTTTTGAGAAAAGGTAATGTATACTGTATTAGATGTGAAAATGGACAGCTGAACATGGGGTAAAACTTCCCCAAGAGAACTTTAAGAAAGAAAAGAAAGCATCTGTTAGTACCCAAAAAGAGGGCATCTGTTGACATATAGTGAGTCCATGATAAAATTGAAAGAAAAAAAAAAAAAAAGGTGGATGATACAGATAGTTTCATATTCTTTTTGTGAGATATAAGATTGTTTTTGAATCAGCAGATTTCAGAGGTCGAAATGGGACAATCATAAGAAGGGTGGCTTTGGAGCTAACCAATTTTTTTAACCTTTCATGTGTGGAAATCAAAATCCAGTCATTCTGGAATCCCTTGGGAATTCTGTCAAAACTTAGAAATTTATAGCTCCTTGATATGAACACAGCCTAAAACAACTTACTAAACAAGAAACAGGCAAGGACAAGAAACCACACAAATTTATAGCTCAAGAAAATAACCAAGGGGATATTGCAGATACCATACAACCAATTGACAACCTTAAGGCTGTGTTTAGTTTGAAAGAAAAAGATAGAAAGGAAGGGAAGGGTAGAGACACCTGTACACAGTTTGTACAGGTTTGCCAATCATTTTTTCAAACCAAGCACAGCATAAGGAAATTTCCAAGCATAAATTACTTGGTTTTGTACAGGTTTCCCTACCTTTCCCTACCTTTTTTTCAAACCAAACACAGAATAAGGAAATTCCCAAGCATAAATTACTTGGTTTTGTACAGGCTTCCCTTCCTTTCCCTACCTTTTTTTTGTTCAAATCAAACACAGCATAAGGAAATTTCCAAGCATAAATTACTTCGTGCTTATTTAGGACATTTCTTAAACAAGCCCTAAAACTTTTTTTGCAGAGAAGCTTACTGTAATAATCCAAATTTTGTGACACTATTTACTGAGAAAAGAGAAGATTTTCGTACACAGCACTATCTCCATCTTCAACATTTGACTGGGATTCAAGAGCAAGGGCTTCAAGATTAGGTGATGAACCAAAGGAAGGTGGCGGATGAATGCTACATAATCAACAAGGAGATAGACATCATAACATAATAAATGAACATTAAAACATAAAGAAAGTTAAAGAGCATGATGACAAAGCTCATTTATAAATATTGTCCTCAGGCAATGTAAGATTGAGGAAGAAAAACAGTAAAACAAAGAGGCTATAACGAACAAAGAATGAAAAATATAAAAACAATACCTTTGCCTGCTACGGGAATTAGAACTGTGAGCATCATCTTTTCTTGATAAGTGTGAATCAACAGAATTTCCATAAGGGACAGGAGGAACCTGTACAAGAAAGAGATTAGTGTATGGAATTTGTACATGTTTATAATGCAATTAAAATAGCGTTAGGGAAAAGCCTTCATTTAAGGAACTAAACAATGAAAAACAAAAAATTGAAACAATGTAAAGAAACCAAACAAGCAACAATAAAACCAATTGAAACTTGGGGAAAAAAAAGCATCAGCACAAGGCTAACCAGAACACAAATCAAAGTATGGTTAAATGAATTGGTACACACACAAAAAAAAAGAAAAGAAAGAAAATCTACTCCAAATCTCATTCTAATGACATCATACCAATTGAAAGCCACAATGGTACCTACATTCATGAAAGTTTGAGTAAGACAAAAGAACCAGAAAAAAAAAAAAAAAAAACTTATCACCTAAGAAAATTTAAACTCCTAGCAAAAAAATCTAGTTTTGTTCATGTCTTAATCTTAAACTTCTAGCAACTAAATCTCTTTATTCCCTAGTACAAAACAACACCAAGCAATAGGCTCTTCTATGTCCTTTTGAAAAGGCTCTCTACCAGCCTTGCTGAGATTTCCTAATCAAGAAAATGAACTAATCTCAACTTAACCTAGCACATGGGTGGGAGGGCAAAGAGTAAAGAATGACAATTTCTTAATACTCCAAACTACTGACATATTTTTTGATAAATGTCCAAACTACTGACATTTAAGACCACTAAAGAAGAGAAGTAATTTCTCACTCAGTAAATTTTTCTTGTGTCCATTAGATCAAGGTAGTCCCAACTCCCAACCATGATCAAAGACAATGGACCATAAGGACCAGCAAAGAACAGTTGAACAATATAAGAGCAAAAACTTTAAACATTCAAAGTAGCCTTCGGCAGCAATAAAACATGCAAGAAGACATTGGACTAAACAGTAAATACCCCAAAACAAACAGAAATGAATATGAGCTCTAGTAGGTAAGCCGAACATAATAAATTAAAATAAAAAAAAAAACTGGAAGATTTTATCCAACTTTTAAGAATGACATTTTCATGAAATTTTATATAATTACCCACTGTTAATTGAGTAATCTAATCGCCTTCTAATATGAAAAGAAGGAACATTTTATGACCTAACAATTCGAAGAGCATTTACCTGCACAAGACGGACATCAAATACAGGTCTAGTGCGGATATCTTGCGCTAGCCGCAGTAATCTCTTGTGTGTTAGAACATCTTCTGCCCTCTCAGCATTCACATCCATTGCGTACCTACAATGCAGCAATGAAGGACCTCAGCACAAGCACAAAACTATGATAAGTATGAATAAAAGTATAAGCACATGCTTAGAGTAAGAATGATCAGAGAACCTGGCATCTGAAAAAAAAAAAATCTAATCACCGATGCACATGGTCAAATAAAATAACTAATATAGACAAGCATCAAGGAGTGAATTCGATTCGTTCTACTACTACGTGTTTTAGTCTAAAACCTTTCCACGTCAAAAAGAGGAGAGACGGACTAAAATATAGATAATGCCATCAAACAGCAAATAGAACATAATTTTGAAAGAAAGAACAAGCAACAAATCAAGAATCAAACCAAAGAATAGAAAATAAAAAACACCTAGAGCACAGAATGATTCAGAATGTAATCCTTTAAAGACCAGATTCGAAGATATTGACAAAGTATCAACAAGATCAATAAAATGGGAACAACAGTGAAACAGAAAATGAAATAAAAACAAGAAGAGAGTAAACAGAAACAACAACTAGGGTTACGGTACCTAGCGGGTAGTCGGTTGAAATGGTTCCAAAGTTCATCTTCAAAATTAGGAGCATTTGCCTCCTCATTGTTCGATTCTCTGAGCCTACGAAGCACCTCGTTATAAACCTCAAGCTTCTGCCTTTGCTGACGAGGGTGAGTAGGCGATGAATCCACCGCTCTGCTACTCCAACTCTCAGTATCTTCCATCGCCATTAAAGAACTTGAAACCAATCAAACAATCAAGCCAAAACCGAACGACAACCACGGATACGAAGATGAATGAGAAGACGAAGAACAAGAAGAAGAAAATATAAGAGAAAAAGCCTGTTTCTCGACTGGAGATCCAACACTATCTTGAAACGCGAAGAGACAGAAGCACGAAACAATTATGTCTCATGGTTGAAGATGAAAAAAACGTAGCTGGCCAGCGAGGTAGAGAACACGACCACAGACGGAGACGAGGAAAACGGTGTGAGAAAAAAAGATGAAAAGCTTTTTAAAGCTTACATTATTTCCATCTATCCATCGAACTGTGACGGAGTTTCTTTATTTTAAAATATTTTCGCAATATTTTATTATCTCTCACCTTCCATAAAAAATAAAATATAATATAAAAAAAAAATGGAAACAACGGCGGTGGCTTCACTGTTCTCCTTCGTCTCTAGTTTGCCCTTTATAGCGGAATGTTTAACGGTGTAGTGCGCACCCATGCCGACGACGACGAGGCGAGGATCGATAGATTCATTCTACCGACGCACGAGAGGTTGCCCCAGCGCCCTTTGCGTTATTTCCGGAGCGTTTTATTAATTTGGGTTCAAACTGATTTTGTAGATTTTGTAAATTTCACTTATCAAGGCTTTTGATTTAATCCATCGTAATCTCTAGTTCCTTGTCTCTCTTCGATAAAAGAAATCCGTGATGCTGTCTTTCTGCCTCCCTCCTTCACAGTATTCTCGTCTTTCCCTAATTCCCATTCAATATTATAAGGCCAGTTTGGTTCACAGGAATACGGGCCTGAAATTTGATTGGGCGGAATCGAAATTCTATTTCCATTCCTTTTGAAATGCCATTCCCTCATGTAGGCTTTGTTTATTTACCAGTATCTTATAGAGTAAATTGATCAATCGGATAATTACCCTAATTAATTTATCAACTTTTAAGCATCTATAATGGGCTCACTCCCATAAAAAGATTATTTTTTAGAAAGTAAGGATTCTTATTTTTGGTAAATTAAGATGTTTTTGGTATTGATGGGATTTATAAGATAAAGGTTTTGTATGATTTTGTCTTAAAAAACGAGATAAAATCTATTTTAAACGTTTTGTATGTTTTTTTACACCTCAACACCAATAGGCGCCATAGTTAAAATTAGTGTTTTTTTAATAAATGATTCATACGATATACCAAACACCATCTAAGTTGTTTATCCATCCACCCAAAAAGTTAAAAATCTCCCATTTACATCTTTACTCAAATAAGTGGAAATTGGAATGAAATCTCATTTCAATTTATTTTAATTCTAATTCCAATTATAAGGAATTATGTATCCAAATCCAATAATCAAACCCTAAATAAATATACGTATAATCCTAATCCTAACAACTACAAATAAGTAGACAATGTGAGTTTATTCTAATTGTAGGGCATGATCTATAAATAAAGAGATGGGATCTGTTACTCACACTTGGGCGGCTCACATACACATCTACCGTGCATTCAAAACATCTCTCATAAATAATAATTTAAAAATACGAAGATGTTCCCAATAGATAGTAGGATGTGCGTGTAATGCGCGTGTAAAGCGCTCACTGTGAGGAGCAGATCCGTTCTCATGAATAAAGGAACCGAAGTCCATCATTAAAAGTAAAGCTAAATTTCACGAAAGAAATGTGATAAGGCGTTGAGATATGACTTATAAGGTGGAGATTTTTTTTCATCTTTTATTTTTCTACCCAGGTAAATAATTGAGTTGTAGTCTAATCGATGATCAATACTCTGCCGCTTTGGACATTTTCGATATGCTTTTGACGGTCCAACCTGGTTACGTGTCCCATATAGTTTAGTTATCAAATATATATTGAATTCAACATAGACACGTGTTTAAAAATAGGAAACATAACCAACAACTGAAAAGCTATCGTACCGGTATCATGCCTGAAGAACCGATAATGTCATAATATCATCCAATTGGCAACCAATCAACTGGTAGTCATTCAAAGTCCACGTGGGATTTTTATTGGTTAAGTTGATTCAGGTGTAACACATTTACGGTATCATATAGAATTTGTCGCCTTTTCAATGGAATTTGATCCCAAGCTGCAACCAGCCAAAAAAACCCATAACAAGATCGGATGAGATTGGTTAAAATACTTTGTTCAGTGGGTTTTACTATAATACTTTTTAGAGATGTTTGACAAAATGTGTTGACAACATCCATAAAAATAGTTATCATTAAAATGGATAAAATTGCCTCAACACATTTTGTCAACATCCCTGACTGAGTAATATTTACCCACCACCTAGAAGATCGGGGCAAGTGATATCCAAGTAAAATCTCTTTTGCTTATTTTTTTCATCGCTTCCGCGTGAATAAGAAAACGAACATGAAAAAAGTGGTTGATGAAAAACCACAACCTCATTGTACTAATAACTATTAAATTGATAATAGTGCCTCATGTCAACATATAAATGCCCCACAATTAGGAATACAAACAGATTAGATCGGATTCAAATCAGGATATATTCGAATTTGATCCGATACTGTTTATGTCAGATCTAATCGGATTGGATCTGATAGGACACAATTTGAATTTGAATCCTATCGGTAAGTTAGATCTTCGGATTTGATCTGTTCTGATTTGTTCTTTTTAAATTAATAAATTATTAAAAGAAAAATATAATATACATATTTTTTATAAAAAATAAATAATATATATATATATAATATCGGACTGGATAAAGGGTGATCCAAATACAATCTAATCCAAAAATCCGAACTGGAGTGATCCAAATTCGACCAAATAGGACCGGATCTCATATCATGATCTGATCTATTTGCACTCCTACCCACAACTACAATCTATATGGGTGCAGAGTTGTCATGCCATATTATTGTTTAAACAATCCACAATGTAACCATCAAATTCAATTAATCCAGATTCAAAAACTACGGCTATGTTTAATTGGACATTTATTGAAAAAAAGCTATTACATTAGCATCAGAAACACTTGAATTTATACAATAAACTCAGGCGACAGGTGAAAGATAAATGTATGAGGTGAAATAAACAAGAAAAACAATAGATACTAAAGTAACGTTTTTCAATTGAATATTTATACGGGAAACACCCCATCTATAAACACCTATAGAACTAAATATATACTAAATTAAAAAAAAAATTACAGATTATACGATATTATACATTTTTTTTCCTTTTACGATAACTGTACACTTGTGGCACATTGGAGGAAATTATATGAGATCAGGTTTATATAGGCCAACGCTCTCTGACGATTCAGATAACCGGTGATGTTGTCCCCGTCCCCAACTGAACGAGCTGAGGTGTATCGAGCTTCACCAGCTGATTTAGTCTAACAGTCAAGATAACGGTAAATGGAAGGGATTACTGGTGACTGCGTATTAAATTAGATTAGATATAGACTTAATTAATTTAGTAATTCTTCTTCGAAATGAGATATTGACAAAATAGGTGACGGTCAACGTGACGAGAAGACTAGAAAACGTCAAGGGCCGGCACGTGGCGGGCCGCACATAGTGAGTGTCGACAGTTTTGGTAGACGAGCATATGCGCATCTTAATAGCGATAGATCCGGTTATTAGGAATAATTATTTCAAGGGAAAGCTTATGCAGGGGATGACGTGGAAGGGGGAGGAGCCGTGACTTCCGAATGCAGCCAATCCGATTGAGTACTGGGTGATGAATATCGAGACGCAGACGCCCCGGGGATGCACGTTGACAGCTAGTTCATCGCAAGTTCGGTCGTCTGTTAAGGGGAAAAATATTAGAATATCTTATCCAAAACGTGGGCTTCATTAAGATATATATATATATAATAAGCATCTAATAAATAAATGGAATCCTGGGCACCATTGGTAGAATAGAGATGGCGAGGGAAGATTTAGGAGAAAAGGTTTCAAGTCGACTTTGTCATGGTGAGCACAACATGTTTTAGTGATGGCAATTTTTACTCTATTCTATGGCTTATCGTCTAGATAGGGTGGTTTTTTTTTCTTGCAAAAATGGATTTTGGGATGAAACTGGTTTTAAGATTTTGTAACTAGTTTGTATATGGGTAACATATGATATTAGGTTAAAATTGATTCTTTTCGATCCACGTATTGTTTGGAGACATATGAACATTTTAGGGAAAATTATCAATAAGTATTCTGTACTTTGGCTTGAGTGACAATTTGGACCCTAAATTTTAAAATGCAACAATCTAGTACCCGAACTTTTAAAATGTGATAATCTAGTACTTGTTGTTAACTGGTCTGTTAATCAGCCGTTAAGTGATATTTGAAAAATCAAAAATGTCCTGTGAATGCCATTCAATTCTCTTTAACAACCATCCAAACGTTGACAAAAAACTAAACAATCCCAAATCCTAGCCTCTTCTATTCAAAAAAAGTTGGTGACTGTTTAGAAGAATCTAGAATTTGGGACTGTTTATTTTATTATTAATGTTTGGATGATTGATAAAGAGAATTAGATGACACTCAAAAGGTATTTTTGACTTTTCAAATGTCACTTATCAGCTGATTAATGGACTAGTTAACGACAAATATTGGATTGTCATATTTTGAAAGTTTGAGTACTTGATTGTCACATTTTAAAATCCGGGGACCAAATTGTCACTCGAGCCAAAGTACATGGTATTGGGGATTTTCCCAACTTTTTTATTGAAGGCAAATAGTTCAATCAATAGGGTGATGATGACTAAATTCATTAAGAAATCTGCTTGGTATGATAATCAGAAGATATAGTTTCAATTAAAAAATTGGGAATAGTAGACCAAGTAATGACATTTTGAATTATGTATGAATTATGAAAATAATTGATCGTTTATGTGTTGTTTATGCGTTTTACCTAAATAATTGAAAATCCTGATATCTATTCATAGGAAATTAGATGCAAGTTCTAAACCTAATATGTTTTGATATATTAGATTAAACCAGATCATTTTCAATCCATATATTGTTGGAAGACAGATAAATTTATATTTAAGATATCAAACTTAATTAATAATATATTTTAATCAAATAAGTAAAAGTTGTGATGTCTATTTATAAGAAATTAGATGAAATTTCTAAACCCAACCTACCAACCTAAACCCCACCCTCAGGTAGGGTTGTGAGAAGGAGATCCAACTCCTCTACATGCCTGCTGGGAGTTTAGTTGGGGGAGTACTAAGGCAGACATGGGGCATAGGTGGGCCCATCACTTATGCTATATTGTATTAATAACCCACCACTAAAAGCTGACCGTTGAACTTTCCTGTATATATCCAAATTAAAACAAAAGATATAAAAATGGCTTTTGCATTCATTATATATGGCAAGTCAATTCAGTCGAGGATGGAAACTCTACTTGTCCTGACACAAGGAACCGTCCAATAAGCATGCAGGTCAATCAAGGGTAGTTGAACGCGGTTGATTTTCTATTATTATATTACACTTCAGTACTAACATCTTGAAAGGTAGCGTTTGATACATCTCAAATAACAGGAGCTGAAAGCTGCTAAATGCCGAAAATATTCTAAATTTAAAAAAA